GGTATATCAGTATCCTGAAACCTGAATCAAACTGTACAACTGAATCTGATCACCAAGAACCATCAGATGGGCTCAAATTGAGGGACATTTCTCTTGAAAGTGTCAAGAGAAAGACAAAGTGTCAATATGAAAGACAAAGACTAAGGAACCATTGTAGATTAAAAGAAACTACAAACCAGTATAATTAAATATAACAAATGCCTGATTGAATTCTAAGCCATAAAAATAACTTTAATGGAACAATTGACAAACTTTGAATGTCTGAATATTAGATAATAGCATTGTATCAAATTAATTTCCTGATTTTGATAATTTTATTTATTCACATCACTATGATTATGTAAAATGTTAAAATTTGAGAAGTCTGGGTAGAAGATGTACAAATAATGTATTTTAAATCTTTAAAGCACAAAATGATTTCAAAATGTAAAGTTAATAAAGGAAAAATTGCTCCCCCAAAAGGAAAGAAAATTATATGCAGTAAATAAGTCCTCAATATGCCAATTTTACCCTCAGGAGAAAAGTTAAAAGGATGAGAGGAAAAAATAGAGAAATGGAAGAGGAAGAGATTAAAAACAAGGCTGGGGGACAAAGAGAAATCATGCAAACTTTGGGAAACTGGGACAGAAGACAGGAGAGAAAAAGAAAAGGAAGAAATAAAAGGAAGAACAGAACAGAAGAGCCACAAAAAAAACTAAAAACCACATTCACCCTCATATAAAAACAAGATCAAACAATGAAGAGAAAAAAGAAAAAACAAAAGAGAGAGGAAAAAAATGTCCACTTCAAGATTTGTCTCTGCTGTCACTGGTAGACAACATGTGGAGACATAGTCCAGATCCATATTGATTTATCCTAGCAAGCCAGCAGTAGCTTTGTGGTGGGTAGTGGATAATCTCAGGAAGCCTGCACCTTTATTTCCCCTGAAGTTCAGGCTGGGTTCTGCCATGAGGCTGGAACCAGACCCATTGAGCCTACATCAGTTGGCACACTTTCTGCTGACTTGAACTCAGCTGGGAGCTACTGGATGGAGCCAGCTGTTGTTCTGAGTTCCAAGCTCAGCTGGCCCCTCTCCAAGATGCCTCCCACTCAGTGGTCAATCACCCTCTCCTATGAGGTGTCCTACCCTGTAGCACTCACCACCAGCCAGTGCAGTCCTCCATGTCCACTGCTCCCTTCCACTGCTGTGTCTCTCTGTGGAGGCCTCTGGAGTTGCCAGCAGTCACCATTTGTCCACAGGTTTGGACTGCTGTTCCCACACAGTGAGTCCTGACTCAGGGAGAAGGCTGTACCCAGTACCTCCTTCTGCAAAGAGAGAAATTGAAATTTCTCTCTTTGCTATTCTCATGGGCTTTAATTCTCATTTCAAATCCTTCCTGGGCCCAGGGGACCCACTTCCCTCCTTCTTCTCTTCCTCAAATATATTCCAGTGTCTGGATAGCAAGTCTCAGAGAGGCTCTTTCTCTGCTGCTTACCACTCCATCATATTCCCAGAAATTCTTCTCTCTGTTTTTAAAGAGTCTTAAATTTCACTGTATAAGGCAGAACCTTTTACCAAAGGCAGACCTTTTTGATACTGTCAGGCTTGCATTTATTCCAATTTGAACTGGAATAAGGCCTATCCTTCTGAGTGTCTGCACTGAGCCTTCCATGTTGTTGGGCTGGAATCCATTGTCTTCTAGCTGCATACTCAACACCTGTTCATTCTCAACCCTGTAGTGACCAATCTGTACTTGGCCTGATAGTCTTACCTTGTCCATATATAACCTGTCCACCCTTGCTGAGCTACTCTCTTGCTGCTCATTTTTGGTACCTTCCTCACAGACTCCAGCTTCATCCACAGCACAGAACTTTCTACCTGCTCAGTGAGTCTCCTACTAATCTCCCTGCACCCCAGGATGAAAGCTAGGGTGAGCATGGTACTACCAGATTCTAGATTGCCTTTCTTTTAGAAATTATAGTCCTGAGCAGCTTCATGTGCAAGGCCTGAAAGTATATATTCAGATCCTTTTATATTTTGTCTAGCTTTATAATTTTTTTATAGCAGGAGGGAGAATCCAGTTCCACTGTTCTCTCAAGGTCTGAGGTGATAATAGGCTTTAGTTTTACACATTATGTTGAGTTTTTGTGCATCTGTGGAACATCTGGTTAGAAGTGCTGGGTGGGAAATTGAATATTCCTGTGTAGAGCTTGAGAGAGACAAGTGAACTTGAAATGGAGATTTTGTAGTCATGGATTTACAGTGGTAGTTGAAGCCAAGGGAGTAGTGATCACTGAGCTATGGAATGAATAGAGAATGGGTAGAGGAACAGTTCCTCTGGAAAAGACTGTGAAACCATAGCCAAAGAAGGAAGTGAGGGACACGAGACACCATAGCACTTGTCTAGGGGAGTGGTGGATGTCAGGAGCCCAACTGTAATGATCCTAAGCCCAGGTTTTCTCCAACAGTTTTTCCATTGCTGGACACAATATGGGATACCTACAGTTTAAAAGAGGAAAGGCTTATTTGGCTCACAGATAAGGAGATTCAGCTCATGGTATGCTGGCTGTAAAGCAAAAACATCATGGTGGAACACGTGGCAGAGGAAAACTTCTCACCACATAGCACCCAGGAAGGAGAACTCCAAGGAAAGAACTGGAGAGGGAGATGTACACTCCAAAGGCACCCCGTCAGTGGCATTCCTATTCCAACCAGCCCCACTTCCTAATATCACATATAGCTATGAACTCATCAATGGGTCAGTCCGTTGGTTGAGTACAGCACCTCCATGATCTATCACTTTCCAAAAGCCCAGCCTCTGAACACATTGAGACTCTGGGGGCACATTGTGAATCTAAACCATAGCACAAGTCTTGAGCACAGTGAGCATTTCTTCCAAATGTAATCATGCGTTTACCTGCCTAGCCTTCCTGGGCCTACATTACTGACAAATTATGAGCATTATTCTTATAAAACAGGAAAACCAAGGCCCTGTGGAGAGGTTAGGCATTTGAACAGAGTCACTTATGAAGTCTAGCCTTTTTCTACTTCATTTGTATCCAGACTAGGGTTTCAGACTTGCAGGTCATCCAACTCAACCCTCTTGTTTTTTATATGGGGAAACTAACACTCATAAATGAGAAAGTTTTAACCTGGTATAAAGAACAGAAATTCAGTGAGGTCAGCTTTACCAAAAGGAGATGCCATTATCAAAAGTACAGAGATATCTGATAGCATTCAAAGGGCAAGTATAAAGCTAAGCTTTGAGAGTGTTCTGGAGCCATGACCTACAGAGAAATGGAGATGCCTTTATTTCTTCCCTTTTCTCTGCTTTCTTCTGTGTCTCCAATTCATTCTTCTCTGGCAGGGCAGTGTAGATCAACTTCAGCCTTCCTCTCCCAGGGGAAAGTGATCACCCACAACTATATCTGAGTGTATAGCTTAGGAAAGAGCCATGAAGTCAGTTGCAACCAAGGAGTTGGGATGCCATCTTTCTACACACACATCTTTGAGGAGCCCTATCTCTGATCATGTGGTATAAATTATTACTAAAGGGGAAGAATATTTTCCAGAGAAAGCAAAGAGGCAAATGGCTGGCCAGTCACCCTAAAAGATTTTTAAGCCATTAGGATTATACATCAGTAACCAATGGCTAAACCAAAATCAAAACCCATGCAGTCTTTCCTAGGGCTGCTCCACATGGGGAAACAGTAACAATTACTTGATCAGAGAAGAAGGACAGACAGACAGACAATCAGTTCTCATTCCTATTAGAATGAAGAGATAGCAGTCTCTTCTCTGGGAGCCCAGGGATCCAGACTCTAGGACCATTACAGCCAAAGGTGAGTTCCCTCTCTATCAATCCAAACTTTGAGGTACAAGTCACAGAAACCCAAAGCAGACTAGTTTTAGCACAAAAGAGAATTTATTATAAGCTTACTGGAGCACCCTACAAAATTGAAGAAGTATAGAGTCCAGGGCATTTTCGAGAATCTCAGTTCTTCCAAGATACATACATGTGCTTACCTTTTTCTTTCTCATTTTCATTTTTTATCTTTCATCTCTACTTGTTCTTGCCTGGCTTTCACATCACAAGGTATTCTCCACAAGGTTGGAAACCTGACTGCCAGAATTCCCGAGGTCTGATCATTAGAGTACCAAAGAGAAAAGAGTCTTCCCTGCCAGTACCAGGTAGAAAAAAATCCCAGAAAAGGAGTGGAATCCTCTTTTCTTCTTGTTACTATTGTTGTTTTGGTTTTTGTAGCACTCGGGACTGAATCCAGGGCCTTCACACTGAGCTATATCCCCAGCCCTTTTTTAATTTTTATTTTAGGACAAGGTCTCATCTATCTAAGTTGTTAAATTGCTCAGGGTGGGCTCAGATTTGTACCTTAGCCTCCCAGAGTTGTTCGTTTGACAAAAAGTCTTGCTATGTACCCCGCCCTGGCCTCAAACTCCCAGTCCACCTACGTCCACCTCTGGAGTGCTGCGATTACAAATATCCACCACCACACTTGGCCTCTAGGGAATAGAGTCATCTTATTGGCTGGATTCTCTTCATTTACTCGTCTTTCGGAGGTATTTTAAGGAAGGGAGTGAAACTGGGTGCTGTGGTACATGCCTGTAATCCCAGCTACTTGGGGGGTGAGATAGCAGGTTCAAGACTAGCCTGGGCAGTTTAACAAGACTGTATCTCAAAATCATTTTTTTAAATGCCTGCCGATATATATCAGTGACCAAGTGTTTGCCTAGCATGTGTGAGGCCCTGTGTTCAGTTCCTAGTACTGAAGGAGAATGGCAAACAGGATAAACAAAAGCCTTTTTTCTTGTTACTGCTTTGGGTTTTTTGTTAAAATTTTGAGACAGAGACTCACTTTGTAGTGCAGGCTGGCCTTGAACTCACTGTGTAACCCAAGCTGGCCTCAAACTTATGATGATCTTTCCACCTTAGCCTCCCAAGTGTTGGGATTACAAGCATACACCACCATACCTAGCTAAAGTCCTCCTTTGTGTCTTCCAGGTGACCATGGAGGCTGGTGGCCTCCCCCTGGAGCTGTGGCGCATGATCTTAGCCTACCTGCACCTTCCCGACCTAGGCCGCTGCAGCCTGGTATGCAGGGCCTGGTATGAGCTAATCCTAAGTCTCGACAGTACTCGCTGGCGGCAGCTATGCCTGGGCTGCACTGAGTGCCGCCACCCCAACTGGCCCAACCAACCTGATGTGGAACCTGACTCTTGGAGGGAGGCCTTCAAGCAGCATTACCTTGCCTCAAAGACATGGACCAAAAATGCCCTGGACTTGGAGTCCTCCGTCTGCTTTTCTCTATTTCGCAGGAAGAGAGAACGGCGTACCCTAAGTGTCGGACCAGGCCATGAGTTTGATAGCCTGGGTAGTGCCTTGGCCATGGCTAGTCTGTATGACCGAATTGTGCTATTCCCAGGTGTGTATGAAGAACAAGGTGAAATCATCCTAAAAGTGCCTGTGGAGATTGTAGGCCACGGGAAGTTGGGCGAGGTGGCCCTGCTAGCCAGTATCGATCAGCACTGCTCAACCACACGCCTGTGCAACCTCATCTTCATGCCAGCCTGGTTCTCACCCATCATGTACAAGGTGGGTGTCCACATCAAATAGAGGCTGTGCAAGCCTGATCCCAGGGGCTTAGCCTCTTCTCAGCAGGTTTCCTATTTTTGTTGGAATTGAGAGTAGTAGTTATTCTCATATACACACTCCTCTGGAGTCTGAACCAGTTGAGAAATGGGCAACAAGGATCAGTATAGTTCAAATTCCGCTTTGTTCTTGACAAAGGCATTTTAGAAAATGAGGTGTGGACTTGCAACAAAAACTACTTGTATCTCTTCCATACCACCCAGTTGAGCTGGAGCCTCAGGTAGAGCAGCTAGGTGAAAAGCGAGATTCTGGATGCATGCAAGGTAATGATAGGAAGAACACATTACCTGCTCATGGCAACATGCCAGAGGACACCCGTGGAGAGGAGGTCCTGCAGGAGCAGTGACCTTTAGCACAGGAACTATACCTGTGCAGGGTCAGGGAGGGTCAGTCAGGCTTTTACCAGGGTGAGGTACTTCTCAAGGATACCTGGAAAAGGGACCAGGGACTGTTAGTTCAACACATTCCTTCAGTGAACATGGAGCAGCTCAGTATAGTGGTGCATGTTTATAATCCTAGCACTCAGAGAAGTTGAGGTGGGAGGATTGTAAGTCTGAGCGCAGCCTGGGTAACTTAGTGACTTAGAGAGACACTCTCTCAAAATATAGCTTGATGCAAAGGCCTGGGATTCAATCCCCAGTACCGATTCCAAAAAAAAAAACAAACACAAAGCAGAAGATGTATTCAAAGCAAAGCAAATATGAAGGTGTTGGTAGTTCCTGGGAGAATAGTCTGTAGCTTATACATTGCCAGAAACTGACCACAATACTTGGATTATATACCTATTCAATAAAAATTACATTGCACCATTACTAAAATAATTATTTTTCATGTTTGTAATGATCATTATAATACCAGTGATTTGTGATGCACTTAGTATATGCCAAGCATATGCTGTTCGGCCACTATCTCACCCCTCTTGACAGCCTATGTCAAGGTAATATAGCATCATTTGATTTTATAGATGAAGGAGCTAAAGTTCACGATTAAGTGACATACCCAGGGTCTCACACTTAGTAAAGAATAGAGCTAGAATTCAAAGCCTGTATTTGTAATTTAAGTGATATTCCTTCTGTGACCTCATGTGATCCCCACAACAAACATTTGTGGTATAGTAGATATGGTCCCCATTTGGCAGATAAGAGCTGTTGAAGGTCAGAGATGCTAAGTAATTTTCTCAAGTAGGTACTTGAGGTTAGAGCTGATCTAAGCACTTAAGAAATTGCATCACACTGGATTCCCTGGAAGCTTAAAAGCCTGCTTCTGGAATGTTACAGAAGGATTTATGAATTTCCCTTATGCTAGTCTGCAGGTTCAGAAGGAGACTGTTTTTAGCAACAGTGTTCCGGACCTTCCACACTTTATATGTTATTCTTAGAGTAATATGTTAATTTCAGGTTCTACTTGCCACTCCAAAGTGCATCCACATCTTGGAGGGAAGGGTCCTAGCCTTATGCTTCTTTGTAACTCTCTGTCTGGCTTAGTGCTTGGCATATATTAGTGCTTAGTCCATGAGTATCTTTTAAGTAAAAAGGACCAGGGCCCTGGGTTGACCTTGCCTGAAAACTGCAAAGGCTGGGATGATTTACCCGGTCAGTTTTCAGTGACTTCTGAGGAGAACCCTAGTAATGGTTCTGTACTTTCAGAGTGCTGGCCTTTATCCTTAGAAAGGACCAAGGGAGAGAAAACAGACTTAAATTACAGCAATAAAAAAGTAGGTGCAGGCTGGGGATTTAGCTCAGCGGCACAGCTCCTGCCTGGCAAGCACAAGGTTGTGAGTTTGGTTCCCAGTACCGGAAAAAAAAAAAAAAAAGTAGGTGCAAGGGCTGGGGATGTAGCTCAGCAGCATAAGCACCTGCCTGGCAAGCACAAGGTCCTGAGTTTGATTCCCGGTACCAAAAAAAAAAAAAAAAAAAAAGGTGCAGCCGACCATCTTTTTCTGTACCACAACACACACACATGCCCACAAATTCACGCACGCACACACACCAGTGACTGTACGGTGGCTTGTTTCAGACCTGTTCCTGTGCCTCCTCCACTGCCTAAACCAGCTCAGGCAGGGCTCAGCCCATCCTGGCTGCTTTGTCCTGTGCCAGTAACCAGGGTTCTGCCCTGTCCTGATTTGAGTCACAGGGCAGCAGACTCAGGTGCAGAGCATACTCCTGCAGGTACCCAAGAAAAGGCACAAATGAAGGGAAAGCACTGTGAAAGGAGGAGATGTGGAGACACTTCTGCACAGGATTTGACACACTCTTCATACAACCCAGTCACTGAGTGGTGATTCTCCCACCTTTTGGAGCTTAGTAAAGTTGGACTCAGACCCCAATTTGTAAAAATTCAAACTGGTCCTGACCATTTCAGACCCTTTCCTAAAAGAATCTCCCTGCCTTCACCTCTGCATTAACATATGTCAAATCCGTTTCACCCAGCATCCCTCTGGTGCAGCTTCTTCCCCATTCTGTCCAAAGTCTGTCCTATTTTTCACTGACGTGGGGGAGCGGGTGTTTCTCTTTAAGCAGTTCGTGAGCATTAGGGGAATTTACTTAAGGCCTGAGAATGTGAACTCTTCTTCCATGATTCACCTTTGTCTCCTTGTTTCAGATGAGAGACATAGAAGGACAGGCAGCTCCCAATGGCTCTCCCTCTCTGATGCAGAGCAGCTCCCAGGTCCTTTGGGACCTAACTGACACTCAAGCCCTGGTGGGGAAAGGGAGATGATCAAATGGCCTTTCCCTGCTGTGCCCTCTTTAAAGATCAGAACAATTGCTGATCAGCAAAACACAGCTTACCCCTCTTACAGCCATTTTCTCTTTCTCATTTTCCAGACCACATCAGGTCATGTCCAGTTTGACAACTGCAACTTTGAGAATGGGCACATCCAGGTCCATGGCCCAGGCACCTGTCAAGTGAAGTTTTGTACCTTCAAAAACACCCATGTTTTTCTGCACAACGTGCCCTTGTGTATCCTGGAAAACTGTGAATTTGTGGACAGCGAAAACAATTCTGTGACTGTGGAGGGTCACCCATCAGCAGATAAGAACTGGGCCTACAAGTATCTACTAGGTCTTATTAGGTCCTTTCCCAGCTTGCTCCCTACAGAGGACTCTGACTTTTTAATGTCCCTGGACTTAGAGAGCCGGGATCAGGCCTGGAGTCCCAAGACCTGCGATATTGTCATTGAGGGCAGCCAGAGTCCTACTATGCCTGCCTCTAGCTCCCCAAAACCAGCCTCCAAGGTGGGATCGCAGGAGGCAGAGGTGGGCAGTGATGGGGAAAGGGTGGCCCAGACCCCAGAGAGCAGTGATGGAGGCCTAAGCCCCAGCGGAGAGGATGAAGATGAGGACCAGCTTACATACAGATTGTCCTACCAAGTTCAGGGCCCACGCCCTGTCCTGGGGGGTTCGTTTCTGGGCCCACCATTGCCTGGAGCATCCATTCAGCTGCCCAGCTGCCTGGTGCTAAACTCACTGCAGCAGGAGCTGCAGAAGGACAAGGAGGCCATGGCACTGGCCAGCTCTGTGCAGGGCTGCCTGATCCGCAAGTGCCTCTTCCGGGACGGGAAAGGAGGTGTCTTTGTCTGTTCTTATGGCCGAGCCAAGATGGAAGGAAACATCTTCCGGAACTTGACTTATGCAGTGCGATGCATACATAATAGCAAGGTGCTGTCCTGAGGGTTGACTCTCTAGATTGAGGCCTTATTGGGTCACCAGGAGCATGACTGTTAATTGCTGAGAGGGTTCCTATGGCTATGTGTAAAAGGGTGTGGTGCGGTTATTTTGCATTTCAAATAATCTTTTTTAAAACACATTAACACACAGGACTTCATGACCATCATCTGACTTGGACAGAGCAAATTATTTTTCTCATTTCATAGAAAAGGTAACAGAGGCCCAGAGAGGGAAAGTGCCTTAACTCAATCACATAGCAAGTATGAGACAGAATGGAGATTAAAACCCAGGTCTTCTGCTTCTATCCATTGTCATGCTGCTGCTTTAACATGTCACCCAGGTCCTTGTAGAAGAAAGATCTTTTCAGCATAGATAAGGGAAAATTCAGGGAGACATAATCACTGCCTTCAATTTAAACTTTAGGGGGGTACTTGAGAAGGTTTCCCAGAAGATAAGATGTCAGCGCTGAGCAAGGGAATACCTGAGAGCATGGGGCCTGGTGTGTGTGGTAAAAGCAATGGTGGGAACAGGAAGAAGGACAGAGTATAGAGAGAAAGACAAGCTCAGCTTTGGGCACATTGAGTTTGGAGACTTTGAGACCTCTGACAGCAGTGCCAGATCCTGGAGCTTTGGGGACAAATGTGTGCTGATACTGCAACCCCAGTACATGAAGTTTGAAGACCACTGAATACTACCTTCTCTAAGTATCCTTTCCATCCCATCCTCCAGTAGTAGGGGCTTGAGGCCAGGGCCAAGCTTTCATCTGGTGTTAGTAAAGTTCCAACATGAGGCTGGTTGGTAAAGCGCCTGCAGGTAATGCCAAGCCAAGCCAGGAGCACACAATGGAATGGTGGGATGCACAGTGAGGTGTTCCCCTCACCTGCTGGTGAACTGCAGGGACCAGTTGGGAAGGAAAAGACTTATTAGGTGCATCCCCAGTGGTTTTTACACCCTTTAGTGGGGTGCTTATTATATGTTCTTACAAAATCTTTGTGACAGGAAAATAAATGGCTTTCTGTCTTCTGCTTAGATTGTCATGCTCAGGAATGACATCTACCGCTGCCGGGCATCAGGCATCTTTCTTCGCTTGGAGGGTGGAGGCTTGATTGCTGGCAACAACATCTACCATAATGCAGAGGCTGGCATAGACATCCGGAAGAAGTCCAACCCACTCATCCTGGTACTTTTCTGTGTGTTCCTTTCCCTTTCAGGGTGGTTATGGGTTTTCAGAATAATTTTCTGAGAATATTTAAATGTTGCCATGTTAAATTTATATGCTTCATGTCTGCAAGTAGCTTCTGCTTTCTCTGTAGGTCCTTGTGACTCTGTCCCTCTTTCTTTCTCCATGTATTAGTAATGACTTTAAATAAGTCACTTTCTGCAATTTCCCCATCAATAAGAAAGAGGATTGGATAGACAGGGAAAGCAGAGTCCTCCCTGGGCCCTCATATGCTGTGGTTGGCTTTGAGTTTGATTTTTTTTGAGACAGGGTCTCATTATGCAGTTCAGGCTGGCCTTGAGCTCACTTTGTCACCCACGCTAGTCTCAAACCACAACAGTCCTCCTGCCTCAGCCTCCCAAGTGCTGGGATTACAAGTGTGCACCACCACACCCAGCGAGTTTGATAAAAATAAAGCAGTCCATGTCTTCCCTAAAAGACACTTACATTTAAAACAACTCATCTACTTTATCCTTATCTATACAGAAGACCTGTAAGATAGTTCTGAAGATTATGTGTTTCATGGATATTGTGGGAGAATATCGAGTTTTATGTTTGCATGAATACCACTTAAAAGTTTAGTGCATAAGAGATCAGCTCCCTTTCTACTCTGGCTTTTCCTGAGAATCAGTTTCTAGAAATTGGGAAATTATGGGCTTGGAAGAATAATGCCTCCCCTTGAATATAATGTTTATTGCATATCTTACACTTTTCTAAGCACTTCGTAGATATTTGTGTAATTATCCTTTAATCTTTATGCACCTCTGTGAAGTAGAATTATTATTATCCCCATTTTATAGATGAAGACATTGGATACAAAGAAGCAAAAGATCTTGCCTAGTCGTACAGTTAGTGACAGAGACGGGATATGAATCCAGGCAGTCTGACTCAGGGTTGATGTTCTTAGCCCATAATATCAAGACTGTCCATGAAAAGGCAAAGAAAGGAAAATCCCTAGCTATATTTTAAAAGACACATCTAACCAGTGTCCTCTTACAACCCTTCCCCTCACTGTGATTCTCGCATGTAGCCGGTAGCTGCACTACCTTGGCTTAGGAAGTTACTGCCACTGTTCCAGAGATGAGCTTGCCTGCCTGTGGGCAGAAGGAAAGGCAGAGGGGAAAGGAGTGACATGTTTCAATCTTGGCTTTATGAAAGGTGACAGGGATGGAAATACTATTTCATACACCTCTCACTGAGCTTTTCAGCCTTCTTAGGGACTTCTCTCAGATACTGGTTGACCTGGTGAATCTGCCAACCCCTTCAGAAATAGTGAAAAGTGGCTAAAAGTGAGGAGAACTTACTGTATAAAATACAGCAAGTTAGATCTTTGTCTCCATGATAGTGTTTTGCAAGAGATACAATAACTTTCTACTTCAAGTATGGAATTAGAATTCAGTTATATGTTATCAATAAGAATGATATAATTCTGTTATAACTTACTGTAAATGAAGTCACTGTGCAAAAAGCAATAAACTTTACTGAAAGGCAACAAAACTAGCCTTTCAGTGTTCAGGTCTAGCCCTGTCAAAAATATACTAATTAATCTTAGGCCTGTTTCCCCCATATGTACAAAGAGGTACCAGAAATGAGTGTCTCTAAGCATCCTGCAGTTCACACACCTCCTGTGACCTTCCCCGAGTATGTGCATCCTTCCACAGGCCCTCCCCTGAATGAGAAGTGAGGACCAGAAGCCAGTTACTCTTGCCTTTCTGATGTGGCTCCTATGGGACTGCTCTTGGCCAAGGTTCTGTTGAACTGGGGTTCTGGTGGTGCCCTGCCCTGAGATGTGGGTTCCTTGGGCTCTGGGAGGTAGGGCATGGCTGGATGGTTGTGTGTTTAGGGGGCTCTGAAGAGGCTCAGATGTTTTCTGTAGTTGGCTTATAGATGAAGCACAAGAAACTTCAACAGCAAGTACCAGTGCAACTACATCCCAAGAGACTGTAGGGAAGACTCATCTTTACACCTTCCCTTTCTATTTTTGCGTGTGCACCAGTGTAGAAAGGCAGGAAGCAGTTGGTCTGGTCTCTTTGCCATGTGCTGGGGGTATGCCACTGATGTCTTTTCTCCTCTCTGTCTGTCCTGGAGTGTTGTGTGGGCAGAGATTGAGCACTCTACTTTTTGGTGGCATATCTGATCTGTTTTCTGCAGTGTCTTATTTTCACTTGCAGTGTAACCAGATCCACCATGGCCTTCGTTCTGGCATTGTTGTCCTTGGCAATGGGAAAGGCATCATCAGGAACAACCAAATCTTTTCAAATAAGGAAGCTGGCATTTATATCCTGTATCATGGAAATCCAATAGTGAGGTACGCACCACTGTGCCCAAACCATCTGGCTGCTCCGTGTTACCTTGTTCTTGTCCCATGCTTTCTCATCTGTTACCCTAATCCTTTTCTTTCATTTGAAAACATCATTGTTTACTACAACAACTGTACAGATGGAAGCAAAGAAGAGACTTCATATAGGGAGCCGTGAGTGGTCCTCATCATGGGCCGGAAAGTTTATATTTGTAATCCCATGAAGAAGTTATTGGAATTCTAGTGAGTTAATTCCAATCTACTACTTCTGGTGCAATCCATGGTGAGAACAAAGACACTCAGGCATATTTGTAGTTATGGGGAGCCAAGGGATCCTAAGTCTGGCTACAGTGATAGCTAACCAGAACAAAGCCCTTGACCCAGGGCCAAACCTGAGTTTTATCAATTCATGAAGAAAGGAGTGGCTTGAGGATGAGTGACTATGAGAATGGCAGGAAGTAGGTGAGTGTAACGAACTGGGCTAGAAGGAAGCCTGAAATCACCTGCAATATGCAGAGGGAAGGCTATGCAGAAGAGGTAATCTGCATAACACAGTTGAGGTAGTATCTAATGTTTTGGGGTTGGTGCTTCAGCTCTGATGTGTAATCTTGCAAGCCCTGTAAAGTCATAGCCTCTTATCTCGAGGCTCAGTCCCAGCTAACAGCGTGAAGCACAGCTCTCCATCCCACCTCAGCTCCCACATGTTTTATTTGGGAGCTGTGGGGGGCCAGGGAAAGACTGCCCTGTTGTCTTTGCTTCAAAGACTACACATCAGCATCTGGCTGGACCGATTTACATTGCTTAAAGTGAATTGGGGAAAGTGCTAACCAGCTCTGCGCACAGTAGTACATGGAAATAGGGCCAGGTTCTGCCAAAATGGAGTCAGTTGCTCCTCCTTCAGGGAGAATTGCCCAGGTGGTCCTCTACAACTTCACCCAGTCTTGCCTCAGTAACACAATTGTATTTGGGCTTCCGGCTCCATTCTATTTGGCCCTATTTGACATTTGATTCAGCAAACATTATTCAATACTTCTCATACAGAGTAACAAAGGTAAGCAAGAGGGAAACCTCTGGGCAATATACATGCAGAGATATGGCAAGATGTGGGTGGTGTAGAGATTTCCACTCTTGTGAAGTACAGCCTGTTCATAGTGGGTACGTGGGATACTGTGTTAAAATCCTGGGGCTGCAGGCATTTGGCCTCAGTGCCAAAGCATGCTGTGATCCATTAGTGATGCAAGCTATAAGTGGAAAGGACAGTGGCAGTACCCTGTTTCTTCTACCCCAGGTACAGTAAGGGGCAGACTGTTATAGATGCCATCAGAGTGGTATCAAGAGAAGGAGAGAATCATTTTGACTGGGAGAATGTGGGAAGTCCTCATAGAGGAGGTGGCATTGGGGTTGGACTATCATGGAGCTAGGGATGACCTTCCTAGTCATGGGAACCGCATGAGCAAAAGCAATAGAGCACAGCAGATCTGGGGTGAGTGGACAGTTCTCTGTGGCTTGAGGAAAAAAGGGAATATTTTAAATTGGGACTGTTCCAGAAAACCTTGGACCGTATGGTCATTGCAGCATGTCCTTTTATACCTATGTGGTCACCTGTCTCTGCCATGTGGCACAATGGAAAGAAATTGTAGAAAGAAAGGCTTGGGCTGGATGGGAAAGGCCTTTGGTCAGCCATGCAGAGGAAGATAGAATAGGCTTTGTCATGAAGATGGGAAATCTTTAAAGATTTTTCAACAGAAAATTCACATAGTTATGTCTGTACTTTAGAAAAATAGCTGGCTTTAATGTGCAAGCAGATACATCCTGAGTTTTCCCCCTACATTATTCCATATGTATATTTCTAGGTTGCTGCATGGCTTTTATATTTATCACTTGGGAAAATTTAAGAACATTCTATTGTTGTAATATTCCATAATTTCTATCCATGATTTCTATTACTGTTGGGCAAATACTTTTTCACTGTTCAGGACAGCTTACTTGAGTAACTTCTGATCATAGTGCACCTTGCTAGTGCTGGGGAACCATTAGAATTTTGAGTAAAGAGCATATCACAATGAGATCAGTGTTGTGTGTCTGTAAAACATCGTCACCTTAAGAGAAGGAATTATGCTTTTTTCCCTGTGTTTGTGACATGAAGTAGGGGTGTGGGAAAAGGTTTAAGACATGACATGGCTGAGTTAAGCCACAGCATATTCTTTTGCTATTGAGAGTTATATAACCTACAGTCACTCCTAAGTAAGCTTAGCACAGCCTCCTAGGAATTCTTTATGCCACGAATACATGCACCATGGTGACATCTGTTTAAAGTAGTATTTATATATAGATGACAGCAAGAAGAAGTCACAAAAAATTGGATATTATTGTGCTTATCTTGCTTATTTGTGGGTTTAGTTTTTGGACAAGCTGTCCCTGTAACAACCAAAAATGTCCAAGGACCCGGTCTATAGGACTTCAGGAAATACTTTAAACTCTGTGAACTTGAGCCCCCAGAAAGCCCACAGAAGAAGGCAGTGGCCTTGAAACATGATTTGGTATCCTGGTCTCACTCTTATCTTATTCCTCTTCCATTTTAGTGGGAACCACATCTTCAAGGGACGCGCAGCTGGCATAGCTGTGAATGAGAATGGCAAGGGTCTCATCACAGGTATGCAATGAAGCTGTGGACAGGACCATCCTCTGGTGTTACTCCTGCCAGCTTCAGGACCTCACACAAGTCCCTCACCTATTGCAGACCTCCCGTTCAGACCAGCAGACTGGCACCCAAGATCACCAGCTCCATGCTGGGACTAATTCTCATGTGGGCATAGCACATCGCATATCTGCTGTCTGCCAGGCCCAGGGCTGATGGCATCTCACTGATGGGTCACAACACTTCCAGAAGCATGGACACCAGGGGGACTATCTGAATCCTCCTCTAGGCTTTTGTGTGGCTGTCTGCCCTGGAAATCTCTATCTAGCCAACTCCTATTCACCCTCCAGGTTTCTTCTCAAGTGTCTCCTCCTCAGAGAAGCCTTCCCTGACCTTCCTTTGTACACAGATATACTCACTGTGTCCAGGATGCCACCTCTGTAGGACATTCTAAATAATTTCTTGGTGCATTGTTTTATCCCGTCTCCTGTGTGAGGTAGTACATTCCACAAAACAAGGATTGAATTTGCCTGATGCATCAGTGGAACCTCAGCACAGAGTACAGTCATGCTTGGGACCTTGGCCCAGGGAAGCACCTGACTTCAGCTGTCATTCGTCAAACACTTAATAGGTACCACTGTATGCAGGCCACATTCCAGGAGCTGGGGGTACAGTAGTAACAAAATAGATTCTTCCCCTTCTCAGGAACTCATATTTTAGAGGGAAAGCAAGTAAATAAGTAAAAGCCTATATAAGCAAGAAAAACAATGCCAAACTAAGGGTGATAAGGGCTCTATAGGTTATCTACATAAAGAGAGGGCCTGTGTGGTCAAGATCAAAAGGGTCAAGATCATGTGGTCAGGACAGGCCTTTCTGAGAGAGTAACATGTAAAACAGAACCTGGAAGATGGGAAGCAACCTAGGAAAAGAGTCTGTCATGCTGCAACAGACACAGCATACCTGAGCAGTGAGACTGCTTCAGGGTTTGGCGTGTGATGAGGAGAATGGGATTGGGTCTCAGAGGCAGGAAGGAGCCCGTCACATAGGGCCTGGTGAGTGATTTCAGGAGGAGTCTACCCGGCCAGTGCAGGGGACAGCAGTGTCTCACAGTGGTGGGACACCTATGGCAAGACAAAAGATGTTAATGTATGAGGTTTTTTATTATTATTATTTATTTATTTATTTGTCTTTTTGAGACAGGATCTCGCTATGCAGTTCAGGCTGGCCTTGAGCTCACTTTGGCCCAGGCTGGTCTCAAACTCACAACAATCATCCTGCCTCAGCCTCCTGAGTGCTGGGATTATAGGCATGTGCCACCACACCCAGCAAGTTGTTTTTTCCTAAACTAAAACCTCAGTGTTCAGGATTAATAGAAGTGTTGGTACTTTGCAATAAATAAGTGGGTTTTGGGTTGTAATTTGGGCACTGTCTCTAAAAGGTTCGCCATCACTGGCTAGGATCACACTTCGGACCTGTGACTTTCACCCCATCCCTGAGAAGGATGAGGTGAGAGGAGAGAGGAGAGGAAGCGTCTGGTCAGAGTGCATAGCTGAGGCTGAGGACAGGCAGCCTTCTCAGGCTTGAGGGGAATGGCTGGACTCTGCCCCTGAGGCTCTAGAGCTGGTTTATTCTCATTCATCAGCCCAAAGGCCATTGGAAACAGTGGGAACTGGGGATGTAACTGCACAAGACAGACAGACCCTGCCCTCTGGGAAAGTGGACGAGTCCCAGAAACATCAACTAGTAGACAAGCTTCAAGGTGCTGACTGCCAACAGGGCAAGGCCTGGGTGACCTGGTCTGGGGTATCCTTTCTCTTAGCTATCCAAGTCCCCACTGCCAGCACTGGAGGGGGCCTTTGGGTGTTCACCTTCATTCTACCTCTCTTCATAGAAAATGTCATCCGTGAAAATCAGTGGGGAGGCGTGGACATCCGCCGTGGAGGGATCCCTGTTCTCAGGAGCAACCTCATCTGCTTTGGCTACTCAGATGGTGTGGTTGTGGGAGATGAAGGCAAAGGACTGATAGAAGGAAATACCATCTATGGTGAGGAGCATGTGCCCAGGGGCAAGGGGTTGGGGCCCAGTCCTGCCTGGGAGGCAGGAAGCCCAGGTTCCATCTTCAAGTGTGTGGTTCCTGAGAAAGTCATTGGCTTTCCTGGACCTCAAAGACCTCATCTGAGTTGCAGGAACTGTACCAGGCCCTCTCAGAATAAAGAGTCTCTCTTATAAACCACTTAGTAATCCACTTTGAGGGCATGGGATCAGTCAAGCGGAGCTTTGTTCCCAAAATAGCGAAAGGCAAAAGTTGGATTATGTCTAAGGGCAGCCCATGTGAGCTCTGACACATGGGCATCTAACACCCTTCGTTGCATCTTTTGACCCAGAGAAGTGGAAATATAATGGAAACACAGGTAATCACAGAAAAAAAAAAAAAAAAAAAAATTATACTCGGGGACTTTTTTTTTTTTTTTTTTTTTTTAATTTATTTAAAAGAGTAAAAGAAGGATAACATAGTAATAGGGGGATTTACTGAATTACAGACAAAGTGGTAGGACATTATCAATGGTTATTATTTTACCTATTGGTATCTTCAAGATAGTTTCTCAGAAAACAAATAGACAAATAATAGTGAGTTACAGACAAAAATGGTAGGAAATTATCAATGGTTATTGTACTATACTTTGGTTTCTTCAAAGTGGTTTCTAGGGAAAACAAATAGAGCTATCAATGAATGATCAATTAAATTATCATTGACTATTCTCAGTGGTTGTTGTTGAAAACACATAGTAATAAACATACATCCATTTACGAAATAGCATAGGAACAATAAAAACATTACAGAGTTATGGACAGATTGGTAGGAAATTATCAATGACTGCTGTAATACATGTTGGTATCTTCAAAGTGGTTTCTTAGGAAAACGAAGATATGCAAGAAAGATTTAACAAGCAGGTACAGCCCAAGGGTAGTGAAAAATAGCGGATTACCTCCTCATCAGTGACTCTTTTCACTGAGGTGTGACAGCTGAAAGGAAGGCCAGGATTGAAAAGAAGGATCGAGAGACTAGCACCACTGTCCAGCAATAGGCTGTTTACTTTTTCCTCTATAGTCATGATTATCTGGGGCTCCTCCTTGAAGATAACAGTCTGGCCAGAGGGAGAAGGCAGAGTATACCCTGGGCCCCTTCATTCCTGTTGGACGAGCTGTAGGAGAGGTCTGAGCTCTGGGGCCTTCACTTGAGAGGCCAGTCTGACCTCTAGTGGTCACCTTTACAGTCAGGGCATGGCCCAGGGGGCTTCTTAGGGCAGTCCCTCTTGAGACAGCCTGGCTTTTGACAGCAGTAGCAGATGAATGTAGTCAATGAGTTCTTCCTGGGGCCTTGAGAATCAGACTTAGGGTCTGTTTCTCTTAGTGCTGCAACAAAGGCAGCTGTTTTTTCTCAGTCTCTTTGTTTTCTCTCCTTGGCCACCTCCTCCTCATGGCTATAAAAAACTAAGGAGACAATTCTTACTAACCTCTCAAGTGAGCTACCTGGGGCAAAAGCCATTTTTTGTACCTTTTTTCTACTATTTGGGGCTGACTGAGTAATAAACTTATCTTTAAGAATAGTTTGTCCCTCTACTGA